ATAAGAATCCATTTTAGTAATTGCATTAGGAGCATAAATTGTGTCCAACAGTAATGGTTTGGCCTTGAGTTCATCCTTCCTCATCCCCTGTTTCGCCCATGGTTTAGGCAGTATCTCTGGTTTTATCAAAATGTTCTGTCTGTCCTCTTTTAACTCAGCCAGTTTAGTTAGTCAATTTTCATTTTTTGGTGGGTTAATTTAAGTGAAAATTAATTGTTTTTTTTTTTTTTAAAGGGGTGAGAATTGAGACCAACCGAAGCATCTGAGTGAGGGCGGTAGCAGTGGGGTAATCATTAGTTTGTCTTGCTTTTAGAATTTGAAACATGAGAGTGGCGGCCACGGGAAGTGGCACTCTGCTGCGTGATGAGTTTAGTCTCATGGTGTAGCTTCTGGCATTCGGATTCTATGGCTTCAAGTTTTCCCCTAACTTGCCTTTGTCCCTCTCTAATGCTTTTCTGATCCTCACTTATCTCTCTCATCTCTGCTTGTAACTGTCTCATGCTGGAATGGATTTTCTTCATCTCTTTTGCATTCTATACCAAAATTTATAAAACACTTAGAGCATATTTGAGGATCATTCTGTCATATAACAAGCAGAAAAAGAATGGTAAATTCTATATTTACCTGATGCTTCATTTGTTGTGAATACGATATGCCTTGTCTAATACTGTTCCATGCTGGGCTAAAACATATTTGAGCCTCTTATAAGTTTTAATACCTTATCTTAGATTATAATACTTTTAGTCCTTTACTTTAATAAATTTATAGGTTTTAACCTCATCTTACAGTATGATCATCAAACCCACTGGCACGGGAAACCCCTACTGTTTATCATCTTTTGCAATTACTGCAGACATCATATCATCTCACCTTGCTCAAGCTCTATCAATCTTAGTTTTGGAACTTTTACTATTCGGCATTTACTTGGAGCATTGCACCAGTCCGCAAAAGAGTATGTCCATCCTTCAATTTTGCTCTTTATCCAGCAATATGAGTTGTATTGTACCATGTGGAACACTTCGTCAGTGGACACTTGCTTTGCCTCAAAAATTCTACGGTTCCGAGTTGACCATAAGGCCCAGATTGTAGCATACCATATCACCTGCCACCCTTTTTGGTTTCTACCCGCCCAGCTATGTTGGAGAAAAGCGTCCTTATAACTCCTGGCCATGACATACTTGATTTCCCACCATGCGAGATTTTTGTTCCAAATTTTTCCTGAAAAATTACACCACAGTAGTAGGTGGTCCTCATTTTCTGCTATTTCTACACAAAAACTGCACTTAGCATCTGCTTCTTGTCTAATGATATTTCTCTTCAAGAGGTTTACCTTGCAAGGTGTACGTCCAAGCACTGACAGCCAACTAAAAGCACAAATTTTCAATGGGATTGTCGAGTTCCAGCATTTCTTAAGACATTTGATTTCATCCCCTTCTTCTGTTGTTGTTAGCATCTTGTATGCTAATTTTACTATGTATTCACCGTCTTTTTCATATCTCCACCACCATCTATCATCAGCGTCCTTTCGAATTTGCACATTTTGTATGGTGCTCCGGAGTTGTGTTTCTTGGTCCTGTTCCCTTGTTGATAATCTTCTCCTCCATTTTAATCTCCATCTCCATGAACCACCTATCCATTCTCCCATTTGCTGCACCGTGCTTTGTCTATCTGTGGAAAGATAAGATAATCGAGGGAACATTACTTCTAAGGTATGAGATCCCACCCACACTTGTCTCCAAAAGGAGACCTTAGCACCATCTCTTATAACCAACTTAAAGCCCGACTTCACCCAATCCCGTTTCCCCTCAATCAACTCATTAATTTTGCAAACATCTTTCCACCATCTAGATCCCCTGTTCTGCCCCTCTGTTATCCATTCTCCCCAGCTTCCTCCTTCCCCTCCATATTTATCTAAGAGCACTCTTCTCCATAAGCCTCCTTGCTCATTAACTAATCTCGCCCACCATTTCCCCATCAATGCTAAATTAAACATCCTAAGGTCTTTAATACCTATCCCCCCTTGTTTCCTATCCTTACAAACTTTATCCCACCTTACCCATGCAATCTTGTTTCTCTCCTCACACCCACCCCATAAAAATTTCCTTCTAATTGCATCAATCTTTTTTATCACTCCAGCAGGTAAGAGATAAGTAGACATAAGGAAGACAGGAAAACTAGTCAACACGGAATTTATAATGACAATACGCCCCCCCAAGGATAAGAACCTGTTTTTCCAGCCAGCCAACTTCCTTCCTATTTTGCTTATCAGTTCTGCCCATGTGTCCTTGCTTCTCAAACTTGCTCCAATTGGCATGCCCAGGTAAGTCATGGGTAGTTTACCCATTTTGCAATTCAAGAATATGGCCCAATGTTGAGAGACTTTCTCTTCTATATTCATTCCATACAACTTGCTTTTGTTGTAGTTGATTTTGAGTCCCGAAACCATTTCAAAGATCCTCAATATACTTTTAATTGCCTTGACATTTCTTTTCGAGGCCTCTCCAAAAATGATAGTGTCATCTGCAAATTGGAGATGAGAAATTTTCAACCCCTTCGAGCCTACCGTAATTCCATTGAACAAATCTTTTTTTTCAGCGGATAATAATAGTTTTGAAAGGCCCTCAGCGGCTATAAGGAACAAGAAGGGGGAGAGAGGGTCACCTTGTCGCAGACCCTTGCTCACACTGAATTCCTTTGTTGCACTGCCATTCAATAAAACTGAGATTGTGCTTGAGCGAAGACACTCCATAATCCACTTCCTCCAAACATTGTCAAAGCCCATACGCATCAGCATATAATCTATGAAATTCCAAGAAACCTTGTCGTAGGCTTTCTCGAAGTCAATTTTGAAGATGAGGCTCTTTTTCTTCTTCTTCTTTATCTCGTCGATGGTTTCATTGGCCACAACTACACTGTCCATAAGCTATCTCCCTTGTATGAATGCTAACTGTTGTTCGCTTATCAACCCCTCCATCACCTTCTTCATTCTGTTTGCAAGTAGAGTTGCAATAATTTTGTACATGCATCCGATTAGCGAAATTGGTCTATAGTCCTCAATTCTTACTGGGTTCTCCTTTTTCGGAATTAGAACAATGAAAGATGCATTTGAGCCTCTTACTAATCTTCCACTTGTATGAAAGTCTTCAACGAATTTTACAACATCATCCTTCACTATCAAATTGTGTTAATATTGTGTAAGTTAATAATGATGTTAATATTAAAAAGAGTTTAACCAAGTTAGTAACTAATAAATCAAATAATATACTATTTGATTATTTTCTTTTTTGTAATTTTGTTTTTTTTTTTTTTTGATCAGCAAAATAATTTTATTGAGTACAAGGGGTACTCAAACCCATTACATCATCACAAGAGTTGTTTAAGTTACACTACTCAAAACAGTCCCACATAATTTTCCTAGATGGTTTGTGCTTTTTTACATGCTTCCCTGGGGTTCTCAATCCATAGCTCCTTGGGCATTTCTACATTTAGGTTGGCTTTCACCCAGCTTAGCGAACGTAGCTTCATTAAATCCACCACAGTAGCTAGATTGTCATTTCCTTCTTTGAAAATCAATTTATTCCTCCACAACCAAATGGACCAGATAACAGAAAACCAAATCACATACCATGCTTGCTTTAAAATTCCATTTTGTAGCATTCCAACGTGTTGTTGTAGGTGGTTCCAGCCTTCACATGCAAGAACAGTCTGCAGGCCCCACCATGCGTATGAAGCTTGCCAAAGTGCCCAAGTCGCCTCACAAGTGAAGAATAAATGAGTAGCAGATTCAGTATGTTTTCCACAAAATATGCATAAAAAATCATCCTCAGTTCCAACTATTCCTCTTTTTAACAAATTATCACCGGTAGGAATTCTATTTTGCAAAGCTTTCCACACAAATGCTGAAACTTTAAGTGGCACCTTTTTATTCCATAACATGTTGAATT